ATTGAATGTTAAAAAATAAACCAAGATATTGCAAGTAGCAAAATTTCACAGAATCCAGTTATTAACAATAACATGAACCGGTATACTCAGAGTCAATTTTTGAGCAACACATATCCTAACAATACAGTTCAAAGAGGTGACTACTCACAAAATCCAATTCCAAATAGCAACTTTATGCAGAGTAAAGACCCAAATAGTAATTTTCTTCAATATTCAGTTCAAAACAGAGATTCCCAACAGTATCAACCAATCACAGAGCCAAACTTGATAGCAATACAGCATCCCAGTGGACCACTATATATCAACGCATCAGAAGTTACAAGGGTAAATGAAAATGGACGCAGAACAAGAGTGTCATTCTATAACGGGAAGGATCCATGGAATATATATGTGATGCAATTTGAATTGATTGCAGAAATGAATAATTGGAGTCCATCAACCAAAGCCATAGAACTGGTTACAGCTCTCAAAGATGAAGCAATGGTCTATGCCTCATTTCTTACACCAGAGACAAAAAGAACATATTCAGTACTTTGTGCAACCATGTCCAACAGATTCGGATACCATGGGTACCCTGAAACTTTCAGACAAGAGATCCATACTTTGAGAAAGAACAATAGAGAGACAATACAAGAATATGCATCAAGGGTCGAAATGTTAGCCAGGAAGTCTTTCCCCACAATTGACACAGCAACACACAGTACACTCAGTGTGGGATATATGCTCAGAGGATTGCCAGACCAGAGTATTGCCATTGAACTGCTCACAAAAAGGATTACCAGCATTACAGAGGTAATTCACCAAGTTACTTTATATGAGACCTATAAGAGCGGTTCAAGAGATAGAAACATCCGCCAGCTTGGTACAACAGATTGCAGTGGCACTGATGATTGTGAATCTGAGGACATAGAGGTCAGAAAAGTAGGAGGGAAGAGATTTGTCACAGAGGAAAGATTGAGACAGTTTGAAAGAGGCATGTCAGAGTCTTTGGAGAAAATTATTCAAAGAGAAATGGCAAAGTACAACAAAACACAGGAGTCTGATAGTAGTTCAAGGCCAAATAAGCAGATGTATAGTGACAAAAAGACCAGATTTAAAATTTCAAGATGTTTTGGTTGTAATGAAGAAGGCCATTACATAAAAGATTGCCCAAAAGGAAAGAGAAACCAGTATTATAAAGATAACAATAACAGAAATGGTTTGAAAATCAACTATGAACGGAATCAAAATCAAAACTTAAAGTCTTTAAACTAGTAAGGGCTGAAACTGTCGGCCAAGTGCCAGCCCCTTTAGTTATAGAAAAATTTGAAGATAAAGATAAATTAAATGAGAGGAAACCTTGTCAAAGAGAAACAGTGGGTACAACAGCTATAAATAGATCATTTGATGGAGATATATGTAGCCTAGTTACAAGGAACCTAGACTTAAACCTAGATTTGTTGTTTGAGAAGTCAAGGGAGATACAGAAGAACACACAAAAGGAGGTAATGGGTAGTGCAGAACCAATCAAAGGGATAGAAGAAAACATTATCATTGATCGGGTGGCAGCAGCTACCATTACAGTTCCAGTGGTCATTAACAAGATTGTGACTAATGCAGTTATTGACACTGGAGCAGAGGTGACGGTTCTTAGTGAAAAGCTGTATAAACAGATTCCTGAGGGTCACCGGCCAAAATTACGGAGAGCAGCAAAAAAATTGGTAGTTGCTGAGGCCGGAAAAAACTTGACAACAAGAGGGATTACAGAGGTGGAAGTTAATCTAGGAAGTGAAACCTGCAAATGGCCAATTTATGTAGCACCCATTTGAGATAACATGTTATTAGGCTGTGACCTAATTGATGAAATGAACTGAACATCACAATCAATCCTAAGCAAGGCTTACAGTTAAATGGTCAGTGGATTGAATGTCAGACTAAGAGACAAATTAATGGAGTAGCCAGAGTTGGAGAAAAGGACACCAATTCTGGGCTTATCATTGACAAAGAAGCGGAAAGAAGTGAGTTCCTGTCAACCAGAGATTCAATGGTAGAGCCGGTAATGGCCGATGACAGAAAACCCATGGTAGCAAGTACGCAGGACATGCATGTACATATAGGAAATATTACAAGTTATAAGGGTACACAGACGGACAAGGTCGATGTCCAAATGTTGCCTGAGCTCTTGCAACAAATTACAGAAGAAAATGTAAATGTTAAAGGAGAACACATAAGAGAACACATAAAGAAAAGAGAACAGAAGGGGACACAGAAAGAAAGAAAAATAAGGAGAGACGAACCAATAATACAGTGAAGTTGTTGGACAAAGAAGACATTGAAAATTTTAAAAACATTTTATTATATTGAAAGACACAAAACTGCAAATTTGTTGACATTATTTATATGTATATTGTTTTATATCTCATTGGTACACTTTTACTACTAGTATTATACGTGTCAAGAATCGTGACATCAGGTTATTCGTGATCTAGTTAACATTGACAAAAACAAATTCGCTTAATTTTAATATTCTATTGAGACAGCATGTGCTTGTTTAGATTTTGTTTGATTGTATCTAATGATTTAATATTTCGCAATTATTCAAATTTCGAGACGAAATTCTATTTTGACGGAGGGCAGTGTTGTAAACGTTCAATAACGCGGCTTTACCTTTATGTTAACGTAACGTCGTTCCCGGCAAAATTGACAGTTGCCGATTTAGCGTTACGAAATTCCGCCAACATGTGGCATTCGAATAACATCTTTGTTTCCTAGCTTGTTATTAATCCTACATTTCTTTAGTTACTTGTATTTATATCTGAACCATACTCGACTTAGTCTTTACAATTCTCGACCTATTCGTATAAATCTATCTCTCTATTTTCTTATTTAGTCTTGTTTCTCGTGGTCCAAATATGAAAGTGATTTATCAGATAAGAAAAATCACACATATGTAATAAAAAAGTTTTTGTTTAATAAATTATGCAGGCAGTTCACTTTGCATTCTGAGGCTTGGCCATGGGAGAAATAATTAAAAAAAAAAGGCAATAAAAATATTTAAAAGGGAGATAAATTGTTTCTTAATATCTAAATTGTTTAATATTCCTTGTACTTAAGAGTAAAAATGAATACAGGGACACACTATATATATATCACTTAAAATAGGATCTCGTGGTTGGTAATACAATAATATGAATACATCTACTAGTAAATAACTTTCATTGTTTTTTTTATTTCAAATATAGGTTACTTATGCATACTAGTATATATTACATATATTGGCCGAGTAAGGTTTAGACGTTGGTCAAGTATGGTTCAGACTTCGGTCGAGTTTGGTTCAGACTTGTTAAAGTCCTTTGGTCGAGTCTTCTAAAGACATTGAAAACAGGTCGGAAACTAGTTAAGTACAGGAGGTCGAGAAAGGGTTAAGACTGTTTCAGCCTGGTCAAATTTGAGTTCATACTTTTCACTACGATCGAGATAAGGGTCCAGTAAGTTCAGACTGTTAAGTATGGTTCAGACTACAGTCGAGTAGTATCGAGTAAAATTCAGACCAATTCAGAATGGTCTTGAATAAAAATCAGTGCAGTCGTGTACAAAAAGTGCCCATTTCAGACATTTACTGGTTTGTAGTAATAACGTACGTCATCACGAGTTGTTTACTGTTATGGAATATCTGTTTTACAGATAACTGTATTGACGACAGATATGTTCCATTGATCATAACCACAATCATATCCTGTTTTCCTTGAAAGTTACATCACCGAATTATACTTCTCGTCCAATTTGTATCTTCATGAACACAAAGGGTGCCACTTCTTGAGCATAATCTGTTTACCCTTTCGGAGCACCTGAGATCACCCCACGTTTTTCTGTTCTGTTTATGTTGCTCAGTCTATAGTTCTCCATGTTGTTTTTTGTAGAGTGTTGTTTGTCTTTGGCCGTTTTACGTTTTTTGCAATGGCTTTGTAAGTTTGTGTTAGACTTATCAGTTTGAATATTTTGTTTATATCTTTCCCCTCACTTTTTCAGTATCACCGTTTATTTCCGTTTTTTTTAACGTTTTTTACGTTGATAAAGTTTCCAGAGGATTTCAACAATTTGAGTTACTTCGTACCACAGCTTTTCAGTACTCTTTTAATAATCACTAATCACCTCGATGGCTTTCCGAATATCATGGCTTTAATTTGAAATTTGAAATTGACATTTGCAAATCATTTAAACCCAAGGGTTAACTGGGGACATGCCTTTGTCCTCGTCCGGACGGCTGTAAAACCCTTGCTAAAGTGGGATGTCCGTTTAATTGTGCGGAATATATAAAGTCGCAGCCCCATCCGGTTAGAATGAAAACGTTAAATTGGATGCTTCATGTAGACAGAGTGCCACGTTCTCTGTACGTTTAGAACCGTTCCAGCATTTCATGAACTTTCCAACATGTCGATCTATTGTTTATATGGTTGATTTGTTCTAGTCCTGAACATGCCTGAAATATTTTCCACTGAACGTTAATTTAACAACAATCAATCAGATCATAGACTGGAAGTCTTGAAATCGGAATAGTTTGTCCCGGTAAGATGATATTTCTTTGGCATGTTAAAAATCCGATTCACCGTGTTGGGCTGGTGCTAAGACTGTTATGTTCATCAAACATTTTCATTTAATATCTTCCTCAATATGCATGTTATATTTTTCTTTGGATGCTACATGTCAGTAATACATTTGGTTTTCTACATGAAACTTTGACATGTGTTCAATATCTGTCAACCATAACGTATTTGGCAAAACCTTTCGAAATCTTGGGTCCCCAATGCTCTTCAACTTCGTACTTTATTTTGCCAGTTTTTTTTTTCGATTCGAGCGACACTGAAGAGTCTTTTGCAGACAAAACGCTCGTCTGGCGTACACAATTATGAGCCTTGTATCTTTGATAAGTCTTTATAAATTCTTAAAATTGCTCAAATTAGTTATTTCTATTCGATTATCTTACCACTTCTTGACATTTGATGTTTTGCAGGGAAGTAACGATATAGAGACTAGTTTTTCCAATCGACAACAAGAATATGAAAATAATTTGCCAGACAACCAGAAAAGTAAAACACATTACGATGAAAGATTTGAATCAATGGAACTTAGAGAAATGAGAAGATATAAAAAACATTACCGGCGACTAAAGAGATCCGTTAAAGAAATGACAAGTTACCAGATTTACTTGACAACACCCTATCGTCTTCAAAGTATTATGTATAAAATCAAACCCGTTAAATGTCTTAAGAATTCTGATTTAATAAAAAGTGAGAGTAAAATGATGATGAGATTACCACAAGGACAGTTCAAGAGAAAAGTGACTTCTATTTTAAATTACCTTAAACACCCTTATATACACAAAGCTAAACGAAGTTTAGAACAATTAGCCAGCCAAGATAGAAGCTTAAGGGCCATGTGGTTTATAAGGAGAATTATTCATTATTATCAACCTTTCAAAAAAACGTTCAATAGACGTAGTTCAATGTTAGAAATTAGAAGACGTAGACAAGAGATAATAAAGGACAGACGGAAAATAACGAGGATTAATGGAAGAGATTTGGAAAAAAAAAAAGAATTGTTAAACATTCTTAAATTTAGAATAATCTCTTTTCATAGCAGAGCTAAACATCTAACAACTGCTTTATATAACAAAATATTGAATAAAAAGGTTCCGCCTGAATGGAAAACCAAGCAAATGTCGACTGAAACAGAACAGAAAAAGGTAAATAATGACTCTCTTATAAGGTATGACAAAATGGAAAACGAAAAATTGATTAAAAGTATTATCTATTTATTAGAAAAGAAGCAATGTAGTAAAGCAACTACATTGACTAGTTTGCTGTATCGGAATATAGTTAAGAAAATCAGCAAAAATGAAACCAAGAACAGAACTGTGCCTAATCGAGCTGCAGAATTAAGGGGAAAACAAGTACATCATCGGCAAGTGAAAGGCAATATTTCAAATTTGAAGGAAAGGATTATTTACGTGAACACACCTCGTCGTCTTAAATTTATTATACAAGAGCTCAGAGAAAAACGATTTCATCGTAATGTTACTCGTATGATAAAACACGAGAAAGCAATGCTCATATCCAGTGGAGATGCACGATTCAGAAAAGAAATGTTAAATGTCTTAGATCTTCTTCAAGAAAATAAAACCACACATGCTGAAAAGTTAATTGAAACTTTAGTTGCAAACGACAGTGACTTATTGACGGCATGGTTTTTATCAAGATTTAAAGATTATGTAAACTACAAGATGTGGCACTTTTGGCACTGTGTAAAAGGAATGGTTTCGCGAGATTATGATAAAATAATGAAAATTAAGGAAACAAATCTGAAAAGCAAAAAAGAGTTATTAGATATTCTTAAGATTATCTTCAGTAACAGAAACAAAGCCCATGGCATGATAACAGCTTTATTTGAACGACTATCGAAGACCGTGCCGAAAATAAAACAAGTTTCTGAAAAGAAAATACAGGACACTGACAGATTTCTTACTAATAATTTAATAATGGTAGAAAATATAATGCTATTATTAAAAAAGAAACAGTGCGGTAGAGCGATTGTATCGACTAGAATACTATATATGAAACTAGTCGGTGCAAAAAGCAAAACGAAGAACAAAAGTTCATTGCAAATTGAAACTCTAAAAAAGGGACATCAAGTATCGAAAGACAAAAATAATGTTGTAAAGGAGGCAAAAAGCAAAAAGGAGTATAAGTTGTATACCATGTATTGCTTAGTATATCTTGAGGACATGGTTGGTCGAGTAAATAGGGACCAACCCATCTCGTCACCAAGCCGTCATTTAGACGACTTTCTGAAAAAACATAACACATTTAAATATCACAAATCAATTTCAGGTATTTTACATCTTTTAAAAAAGAAAGAGGTTAAAGAAGCGATGGGATTAATTAAACTGTTAAAAAATAGAATACTGCCATCAGTTGAAACAAAAAAAAATCCTAAGAAAAATAGGAGAAAAAGATCAGCGGTACTGCAATCGAATACTATATCAAGACTTCGCCGAATATTGACACTTAAATCGTCCGGTTTAACAAGATTAAACCGTTTAGCTGATAACCTGACACTGTCTGAAATAGGAATCACAAAACGTCATTATGATCCGAAATATAGATATGCTGTATTAAAGATTCTGAAAAATATTATAAATGACAAAGACAAAAGAGCTTCATATTTGTTAGACAATTTTTCAAATAGGTCAAAGCAACAAGTTATGAATTTGGGGAAACCTATGAAAGAAAGCGTTTCTGAATCAAGGACAGATAATCATATATTTAATAAACAACACAACGGAACCATGAATAATGAGAAATTAAATAACGTTTCTGCTATACCGTACAAGTCGCAAGTATCAAGCTTGAATCATAACAAGAATGAAAAACAACGTAAAATATTTGCTAAGCCAGGCAAACTCGAATCAAGTTCGAACTACAACAGAAATAACCATGAATTTTATCAGAAACTCCCTAAGACTATAACCCTTATTGTTAGGCCAAATTTCAATATTTATTTATCGGGGAAAAAACTCAAACCTCTTGAGAATTCTATAGGTAACAACAAAATAGAATTAAAAAACAGATACAATAGAAGATTAATATGGGAAGGAAAGCAACGATTGCAGCATGAAAAAGAACAAAACCATATCGATGAAGTCAAACATAGGCAAGAAAATAGAAAGAATGACACAAATAGATACAGAGCATTGATAGATAGGGAAAAACATAATAAAAATACGAAAATAGAAAATGAAACAGCAGGTCAACATAAAAAAGCCAACATAAAATTGTCAAAATTAAGAAGTAAAAAAAAAATGACAGAACCTAAAAATAAACTGTCATCTAAGAGACAAAAGTTACAGAAGTCACAAACTACAGAGGGTATTGATCCTATAGATCGAATAATTTCGGAACTTACTTCAATAGTTTCGATGCAGGAAAGTAAAAACTATGAAAAGGCAAAAACAGCTATAAATGCAGAAAAACAAAAAGTTAAAAATTTACCAAAAGATCTGCAAAGAAAAATTGCTACAGTTTTTCAAGCCATTGAAGAAAAAGATTTCTTTCGAGCAAGACATCTTATTTTGAAGTTACGGGTTGAAAGAGAGTTTAAAACATTAGAAAACATAATTATACAAGAAAAAAAGACGGCTAGTGGTAAACAGATTAAAAGGCAAAATAAAAATGCGAAAATAGAGAATGAAACGGGAAGTCAAAATAAAACAGCATCAAGAAGATTGATATCAACTAAAGATCCAAAAGAGAAAAACAAAAATGCAAAATTAGAAAATGAAACGGGAAGTCAAAATAAAAAGGTTTCAAAGAGATTCAAATCAAATGAAGTGCACAAAGAGAAAAATAAAAATGCAAACTTAGAGAATGAAACGGGAAGTCAAAATAAAAAAGCTTCAAGGAGATTAAAATCAACTGAAATGACTTCTGAAAAGGGCAATTCTCCAACAAATAACAAACATTTGAGAAGAAAACCAAAGATGAGAATAACTTTGAAAGAAAAAAATAAACAAACGCTTGGAAAAGAGAAAACAGAAGAAAATCATCAAAGACCGGTAGGATTAAACTCTCCAAAAATGGTGGCATCTAGATTATCAACTATTATAGCTTTGAAAGAGAATAAACCAAAAAACAAAGCGGCCACCGCTTTGATAAAAAAAGAAAGAGGGAGACTAAGCCGTCTATCAAATGTTGTAAGACAGAAAGTTGAATCAATATTAAACTACATACGGAAGGAAGAATACAATAAAGCTAAATTACTTATTATAGAATTGGAAAAGTCAGAAGTATCACCAACTGTCAGTGGTAATGACAGAAATACTGAAGATGTAAGTCAGCCTACTGCAAGTAAATCAGGTATTTTATTCGCAGAAAGTTGATATAAAACAGATAATATCGTAGGAAACATGTTTCTACATCTTTAGGTAAGTTTGCATGACAAACATTCATTTTAAGACACCATTTTTTAACCAAACAATACAAGACTTTAATAGTTAGAATAATGATTGATTGATTGTTGGTGTTTTAACGCCACTTTTAAGCGCCACATTTGGGCTGTTTCGTGGCGGTCAGTTTTTATAGGTAAAGGAAGCCGGAGTGCCCGGAGAAAACCACCGACCTCCAATTGGAAAACTGACAATCCTAGTCAATTAAGATTGGAGTCGAGTGCACCCGCACGAGCGGGGTTCGAACTCACAACCTCAGTGTTGACTGGCTAGTGATTACAGTAGTAGAACTACTTAGACCACTTGGCCACCGAGGCCCCAATAGTTAGAATAAGGATTTTCCATATTGTATTTTTCTAGTATTATAATTGTATAAGTATAACAATAAATTATCGTTTAAATCGCTTTTCCTTTGAACTTTCGTCTAATTTGCGTCTAAAACTTTTTATGCAAGACAACTCTAGTGGGGGCCACTTGAATATAATGTATTTTGTGAGAGAGAAAAAATATTCACTTCCATATTTCCCTAGAACAAATTTGTGCTTGAAGACATAAATGTTCGTCATTAAACATTAATACAATTATTTACTGGTTTATTTGGAAATGTTCATCCTCCTTTTTAAAAATGCATCAGTTAAACAGGAACATGTTCAGTCTAATTAAAATATAGACCTCTGATTTCGTTATCCTCATAAGATTATGAAATCAGACGTTTATATTCTTATTAGATTGGAACTTGCTGTTTCAACATCACAAGGTCCGATGTCTCATGACAAACGTATCAATCGTAATAAACAAATTCAACATCGAACTCATTCTACACTTGACGTTTGTTATCCGTATTTTAGAATATAGCAAAGTGCTCTCGGCCAATGAAATTGTAGGCTTTTATGTTTCTTAATTGTGAAGAATGAATGTTAATCATGTTCTTAGTAAGAGATTGTCCTATGTTAAGGTCTATTTACAGTTCAAAAGAAAGAGTTTCTACGAGTTACAACTGCCCCGGAGTACGTTATCAGTTTGAAAGGATTTGTGATCAATTGAAACGAAATAAAAGTTGAATTTTGAAACAAACAAAGAAATCTTAATAAGTTAAAGTTTACCGGTGAAGTAAAACTGGTACCGTTATGAGAATATTAATAACTTCAAATTACAAAAAAATAAATAATATCAAAACAAATGTGCAATACAACACCGCTGTATAAGGTGTACCCGTATCATTACATCTTTGTCTTTCACCATCCGCTGCTCCCTCGTATTGTTAAAATGACCATAAAACGTAATTTCTGAAAATATAATTCATTTTTAGAGGTATTGATTTTTTGTAATGTTAATTTCTCTCTTATAATGAGTAATAGGATAACTATATTTGTTATTTGCGTACCTTGCAAGGTCCTCATGCCCGTCAGACAGTTTTCACTTGACCTCGACCTCATTTCATGGATCAGTGAACAAGGTTAAGTTTTGGTGGTCAAGTCCATATCTCAGATACCAGAAGCAATAGGTCTAGCATATTCGGTGTATGGAAGGACTGTAAGGTGTACATGTCCAATTGGCAGGTGTCATCTGACCTTGACCTCATTTCATGGTTCAGTGGTTATAGTTAAGTTTTTGTGTTTTGGTCTGTTTTTCTTATACTGTATGCAATAGGTCTACTATATTTGGTGTATAGAATGATTGTAAGGTGTACATGTCTAGCTGGCAGGTATCTTCTGACCTTGACCTCATTTTCATGGTTCAGTGGTTATAGTTATGTTTTTGTGTTTTGGTCTGTTTTTCTTATACTGTATGCAATAGGTCAACTATATTTAGTGTATTGAATGATTGTAAGGTGTACATGTATTTCTTGTTTGGTTTATATGACCTTGACTTTATTTTCTTGGATCATGTTAAGTTTATGTGATAGTTGTAATAAAGCTTTATATTTAGAACTATCAACATAATATCAATGATTAGTAAAGAAGGCGAGACATTTCAGTGTTTGCACTCTTGTTTTTTTTTATTATGGTAAGTTATCACTTGTTTTTCCTAATTGGTTATCGTATGTAAATTTCTAATGTACGACGGTTTCTTATTCGGGGGCGGGGTAAGGAGGAGTTTATCTTCACTTTAGTACACAATTGTTTCCTGCATTTTGTGTTGCAGAATATTCATTTCCATCCTGTCTTATGCAAGGCTATTTATTTTCAGCTTTTACCATGCCAGGATATTCATTTTCAAAATCACCCCCCCCCCCCCCCCCGAAAATCAAATGTTCACCGCTTGACATACATTGTAGGAATTTTGAACATTAAATACAGGTTTATCGTTTTTATAATATAGTACAATTCTATATATTTTTTTTCTGTTTTGAATATGATCTACATGTACATCTTTGCATGATGATCTGATTTTTCCAGAATACTGGGGTCCATGGAGCTCATGCAGTGCAACCTGTGGAGTCGGTTGGTCGGAAAGAAGACAGCAGTGCCTAAAAGAGGACGAATGCTTCGAACTTACTCGAGTAGAAAGACGTCCATGTTGGCTGGTACATTGCCCAGACGAGTAGACAATAAACCATACATGGGAAATTGTTTAACTATAATATTGACCAATCAAAACATTTTTTTAATCTGTCCGATAAAAAATCTCTATGTATTAATAAAAATTATTTTTTACAGACCAATCAGAAGCTACGTTCATATTTAACTGGTCAGTCATAAGTAATGTTTTAAATTTGACCACAGAAAATATATGTTATATTTACTTATTAACTTATACATTATTTAAACACGTACAACGTTTTATTTGTGTTGATTATTTCAGAGCACATCATAAATTACGTCGATAGTAGTTTACCGATGTTAAAATCTCTTATTATATACTTAGTAGTTAATACATGTAAATTGTATGTGTAATACGACCAATGGCAATCGTGCTGTATCAGCCATCTGTGATGATATCATATCAGTCACGGTTGCAAAGCCTTTATAACACCCATAATCAATATGACGTCACGTCATCGATATCAGTCACGGTTGCAAAGGCTTTATCAAACCCTTAATCTATTACGTCATGCCACGTGAAAAACATCTACTTGAGCTATATGATTAAAAGTGTATATGATATGGCTTTTTCAATATCACACACCGTATCAACCCTCAACCAATATAATCCCTCGAGCAGAGCTTTTGGGATTATATTGATGTCTCGAGTTGATACGGATGTGATATTGAAAAAGCCATATAATATTCTCTATTTAAATCATTGGGAAGAGACAAGTCAAGATAACACCTAAAAATTCATTATCCAAAATAGCGACAACGGTGAGTCGAAATGGGAAGCGTATCACCCGCCATGCAAATGATTATCTTAAAACTGACCATGTCTCATTATTTCATACAGAAAGTCTTTATCTGACAGTTCAGTCACATGCGCTTTATTCATATCCAACGACAAAACATAACCAGCAAATAGCATAATACAAATTGCAAAAATTGCATAGAAAAAATCATCAATCTAGTTATTTAGGATTCTTGTTCCAGGAAATAAGTACAAATTATACCCAATTATTACATTGTTTGCAATGAATTACCGTGATTTCCCAGTGAAATAAAACCGATAATTTCGCATGTGAAATAAATTCGATAATTTCACTCCTCTGACGTCATACAACTATAGGTGTTGTCAAGACGTTGTCGATGACGTTACATCAAAACAAACTGTGAATGCGTAGAAAAAAAATATAGAGTTGGAAAGCAAGTCCTTGGAAACGTCCGTTGTCGTCAAGATTTATCAACAACAATAGCAGGGGGATTTAATTAGGTGGCGCTACAGTCGTCCGTGACGTCAAAAAGTCCGCCAAATCAATCGGCAATAAAATTGACGTTTTAACTATTTTTTTCAACTTGTCATGCCTTTATTATAATTGATTTTTAACATTTGTAGGTTTTGCAACCAAGATAGTTTCAATACGACATACAAACATTATCCAAAATAGCTTTTACTTGCTATTTCTTTATCCTGTCCGTTCTGAAAATTATCAGCCGAAAACATCGAATTTTAATAACTTGACGTTTGCGTATCCAAATAAGGAACAGAACGGTAATAATCTTAAATGAAACCGGGTGACCTATTTCAAATTTCTACACAATTTTGAAGCCATCATTTTTTACTGACGTCTATACTGTAATACATCAATTTTAGTGACCACCAGTCATGTCAATTTGTACCTGGTTTTGGCTGCTTTTCTAGTTCAAAACAGTGAAGTTCAACTTCTTTCAAAAGTATTCTTAAATACTGATTTTATGATATGACTGAAATTGTGATTGAAAGTTGTTATTTTTCACAATGCCATACGATACCTCCATTTCAAAGTAATTAAAACCCTTCTTGGTCCCTTACACACAGTTGGAAAGCAGGTCACGGTTTGACCCCAAGTCTATCAGCAACAATAGAGTCACGTGACCGTGAAAATTCAGTAAAACTACGGATGAGACAAACCTCACTGTAACTCACTAAAATACAACTGTCATGGTAAAAACTTATTGTTCAAAATAATCTTGAATATACATAGTTTTAACTCGTCAAAACTTACACATCAACTCAAAGTCCTTTATTCTTTATTTTATCTTCAAACTTGTAGTTTGTGTGAAAATTGTCAAGGCTCCTGATCGAAAATCTAAATATTTTCGAGGAAACTAAAAATGATGGGCTGAATTTAAATTTAATAAAGCATCTCATTAAAGCAAACACTCGATATGAATATCTAGGCAATACAGTTTTGGATACGCAAACGTCAAGTTATGTTCAACACGAAGCGGTGGTTTTTTTGCCGATTTGTGCAAGTGGTTATCTCCCTTTGATATCACCAGTCAAAAATAAAAACCCACCAAAATGAATAAAACGGAGTTTATTTTACAAAAATCAAGAAGAAAATAAAAGAAAGTCGATTAACAACTATGTTATTATAATATTAAGAAGAGATACTTCCATACTTTTCAGAGAAAGATTACAGGTAAAAATTAGAAGAAAAAAAATTGGAAAAAATTAGATCTAGAAACCTAGCTGAATTGATATAAATTAACTCTGGCTGATGAAATTTACTTTGTAATTTTTATAATGGGATATGGGATAACTCCTAATGGTTTTTTTTTTTAAATACTTCTAACAATGTTTAATGCAATAAAACATACTGTATACAACATGTACAATTCAAATAATCTTTCTGAAAAAAAAAATAGTACAGTAACTGATCATTTATATTTTATATTTTAATAAAGTGGGACCAAGAGTCACAATTTAGTTTCTTCAAAGTAAAAAAGCCTTTTAACTCAAGCCTATGTTTCTTAGTTGAACAGTACAGTACTGCCTAGAAAATATCATAAAGAAAAAGGATAAGTTTACCAAAAATATTGACAGAAATTCTGTAAAAAATAATACTTAAAATAATAAGTGACAAAATTTTGACTTTAAAATCATTATTATTGTAAAACTCAATTATTAGATTAGCTACCACAGCTAGTAGCCCTTGCCAATTTCTCAGGGTATTTTATAGATTATGAAAGTAAACTTTAAAAAAAAATGGGGCTTTTACTCTTCAGATTTCTGTATCAGCTGGTATACATATTCATAAACAAAGTATTGTACATTTTACCTTAAAATACTTGGATATCTATATCACAGATGAAAGTTGGTGGGGCAATTCTTGTGCCTTTTACTTAACTATCAATGTAAATTTGACAAGATTAGTTTGCCACTTGAATAAATTCAATTTTGTAAGAACACATCACTATGGATTAAATTTCTTGTTTGACTTTATAAGCTATTTCTTTCACTTATTACTGTGGCTTATTTAGTAAAGGGATAACCAAAAATGCAAGGTTTTCAACTTTTAACCTAAGTATAATAAACTGACCTTCATTTCCTTTTTCATGTTTTTTCCTCCAGAAATTTTCATTACAAGGTATTTTCTATTGCTATTTTTTGTGTTTTTGTCCATCGATAGGCTATCATGAATTTGTCAGATTTGCTTCTAGTATGAATAAAATATTCTTAGACGTACAGTTTCAAACGATGATCTTTGTTTTACCTTTTCAATGTGTAAATTTTCACTATGCACATGACCCTGACACATATTTTGTTAACGTTATATGACGTATGTTGAAAAAAGAAAACAATGTCACCGTCAATTTGTGTAGGGGATCAAGAAGGGTTTTAGATACTTTGAAATGGAGGTTTCGTATGGAATTGGGAAAAACAACAACTTTTAATCACAATTACATTCATATCTCTAATAAAGTCAGTATTTAGAGTACTTTGGAGACAGGTACAATGAAAAGAGGATGAACATTCACTGTTTCAAACTAGAAATGCAGCCAAAACCAGCTACAAATTGACATGACTTGTGGTCACTTAAATTGTTGTATTAGAGTAAAAAATGATGGCTTCATAATTGTGTAGAAATTTGAAACAGGTTACCCGGTTTCATTTAAGATTTTTACCGTTTTTTTTCGTATTTGGATACGCAAACGTCAAGTTATTTAAATTCGATGTTTTTGGCGAACAAAAAAGATGACTGATAATTTTTAGAACGGACAGTATAAAGAAATAGCAAATAAAAGTTATTTTGGGCAATGTTTCAATGTCGTATTGAAACTATATTGCTCACGAAACCTACAAACTTTAAAAATCAATTATGATAAAAGCATGACAAGTTGAAAAAAATTGTTTAAACGTCGATTTTTTAGCCGATTGATTTTGCGGACTTTTTAACGTCACCGACGACTGTAGCGCCACCTAATTAATTCCCCCTGTTATTGTTGCTGATAGAGCTTGACGACAACGGACGTTTCTAAGCACTTGCTTTCGAACTGCACAAATTGACGGTGACATTGTTTTCTTTTTTCAACATACGTCATATAACGTTAACAAAATATGTGTCAGGGTCATGTGCATAGTGAGAGTTCACACATTGGAAAAGTGAAACAAAGATCATCTTATTGCGTTTGAAACTACATCTTAGACAATTTCATTCCTACTGGAAACAATTAAATCTGACAACTTAATGATAGCTTATGGATGGACAAAAGCACAAAAAATAGCAAGAGAAAATGTCTTGTTAAGAAAATTTCTGGAGGAGAAAACATATGAAAAAAGGAAATGAAGGTCAGTTAATTATATTTATAAGTTAAAAACCTTGCTTATTTAATTATCTCTTAACTAAGTAAGCCACATTAATAAGAGCAAAAACAAGCTTATCAAGTCAAACAAGAAATTAATTTATAGAGATGTTTTCTTACAAATTGAATTTATTCAAATGACAATTAAATTGTTGTCAAATTTAACAATCCATTGATGAACAAGATTTGTCCCAACAACTTTCATTTGAGATATAAATATCCAATTATCAACTTAAAGGTTAAATATACAATACTTTGTTTATAAATATGTATACTAACCTGAAAAGATCTGAAAAGTAGAAGTCCCATTTTCTCTACTCAAAAAGTTTACTTTCATAATAAAATACCCAGAGAAATTACGCAAGGACTACTAGCTGTGCTAGCTATCCTAATAATGGTTAACAATCACGTAATTTTAAAGGCCGGATTCGTCTAGACGTTAACGGTGGTTAAGCGTGCGTTTTATTTTCAACGAGACGCTTGTAACCAATGTAAACTATGGCGGCGGCAAAATACAGCCTGTGGACATTCCCGAAATTGAAGGCTGAACTGAGCATTAAGGGTGCAGTAATCACAGGAAGAAAGGCAGATCTGATTGATAGGTATATGG